AAATATTTGAACAATATATATTATTGTTTTAATGCAAAAAAATCCGTCAAAAAAACTAATAAATAGATTCCAAAATAATGTGTCTCTGCCACTATTATGTGTCATCTAGCGGTGCCCCCAATACCAAACTTTTCTGGATCCGCCACTGGTGTGTGTGTGTGTATATATATATATATATATATATATATATATATGAATATATATATATATATATATATATATATATATACATTCATGTTTCTATGAATATAACTATATAAGAACTATGATTTTCATCTAAGGATGTTTTCTTTTGGACTGTTTTCAGTCCCAGACCAGATCAGACCAGACCAGACTTAAACAGACCAGACCAGACCAGACCAGACTTGGATAGTTATAAAATGAGTAAAGGGTCAGTTTGGTCCTCGAAGTTGCAAAAAAGGCGTCAAATAAGTCCTTATATAGAAAATTCTGTCCGGACGTGCCATTTGAGGTGGCTCCCTGTGGAATTTTGTGATAAATTTTTTTGAGCATCTTATTCATTAAGTCTAGTTTACTCATACCAAATTTCAGCTAGAAATTCAATCGGGAATACATTCAAATGAATTCTTGAAGATAACAGCGCTTTTAACGGCACAGTTATCTTCAAGAATTCATTTGAATGTCTTCCCCATTGAATTTTTATCTGAAATTTGGTATGAGTAAACTAGACTTAATAAATAAGATGCTCAAAAAAATACATCGAAAAATTCCACTGGGAGCCACCTCAAATGGCACGTCCGGACAGAAACTTCTATATAAGGACTTATTTGACCCCTTTTTTGCAACTTCGAGGACCAAACTGACCCTTATCCCGCTATAAAATACACAGAGACCAGACGTTTACCAGACCAGACCAGACCAGTTCAGACCAGACCAGACTTAAACAGACCAGACCAGACTAGATCAGACCAACAAATTTTAGTCCAAAAGAAAACATCCTAAGTAGAAGCAAATGATTGTCATCCCGAAGCATGTGATCATAAATTGTTATTAATGTGGTATAACACTATAAATGTTATACTTGACCAGTATTTTCTAATCATAACATTAATTACTTCTATTAAAAGGAAAAACACGATCCGGTTGTTTTAGAGCATCTCCATTCATGATCATAAAATAAATGATTTTTCTATTTCACATCATTGGCACATCACATTTATTCAATAAATTTTAAATTAATCTCAAACCTTCAAACTCTTTTTCAACCATGATACTCAAGTAATTAATTTTTCTAGACCATGCATTAAATGCAATTAAATTACAACTTAAAATAATCTGGGATTCAATTTCTGATATTGAATTTTCCTTTTCAATATATAATCTCTTTAAATAATTTCTCACTCACAATGATAATCTTTAAAATACTCTTTCATATCATCCAATTAAACCTTAAATAATTTAAGGGATGGGGATGCTCTTAGAGATTATGTTTCAATTTTAGAGTCATTTATGTTTCAATTTTAGAGAAGACAAATCAGTTGTTATCAAATTTGGATAAAAGCTATGTTTGGAAATGGATGATCAGCCAAAAACTAAGGTTTAACATGGTTTTATTGTTCCTTAGATTTAACAAGAAATAAGACACAAAATAATTTAAGAGACTTCTTTATGGATTGGTAGATTGATGTGTTATTGTTCCATACTTTTAACAAGAAATAAAAACGAAATGTGTCTAAATGAAATCTAGCTAAAATTATGGTATTCAGATATTATGGAAAGGAGAAATATTTCCACCTTTCTTTTTGAAATTCCACATTGGACTTTTTTCACTATTCACATGTTCTACTTTGATTCAATTTTATTTATTAATGTACGATAAATTAAATTTAAAAAATATTGTTATATTCCTCTCATTTAAAATGTTTAAAACCTAATTTTTTTAATTTGTGTATTAATAAGAAATGAACGATATTAATGGTCAAACTTGTGCGTTGGCAAACATGAAAAATGGACCGTTGCATTTAAAAAAGAAAGGAGGATGATAGATATTACATACGTAGTATTAGGGTATGTTTGGCACAACTATCTGAAAAGATACTTTTGTAATTATTTTATTATTTTAGTAACTGTTAGCTTTTAGTGATCTTGAAAAGATCTTAAAAAGGTGTTATATAAGTTGTTAGGACTAATTAATGCTAAAAGTCACATACTTTCTCAGATGCTACTTCGTGTAGCACCTCAAAAAAGATCTTTTATTTTATTGTAAAGCTATTTAACTAGAAACTTTTGGAGACTTTTTAAATAGTACAAAAACTAAAAAACAGAGACCTATGTCCAAGTATAAGACATTCTAATTTAGGCTACAAATCTTAAGAAATCAAAAGAATCTTAAGAAATCTTTCCATAATTAGGAACGTAGTCATTAAACAATGACCAAATTAACTTTCTTGCTCCTTCCTTAAATAGTTTAAGCCATTTGCTAAATAGTTTAAACCTTCACCCCACGACTGTAAACTCACGCAAGCTGCAGGCACTCCAAGCCCGCAGGTCCGCAGGTCTCCAAGCCTTCAAGAATTGTGCTGTTTTGGTTATCAGGTACACCTTCGGACCTTCCTTGCGGCTTCCCACATTCCTAGTTCCGGCCATTGTTTTACAGTTTTACAAAATTACAGTTTATAATATTTTTTTGGAAAAATTGATAGTAATAATCTCAACTATTGGCGTTCCGCTCATAATAATCCCAACTTTAGGGACCTTCCGCCAATAATGGTCCCTATGAATAAATTCTTGTAGTTTTTAAAGTGGATGAGATGAGATATAACAATTAATCCCTATAAATAATTTCAACTTTTAATTTTTACGTTTAATTTCTATTTAAAATTCACTTTTTATAGAGGTAATATATGGTCATGGACCATTATTGGCGGATAGTCTATATAGTTGGGATTATACAAAAATAATCAATAGTTGGGATTATTTTCAGCGGACCAGCAATAGTTGAGATTATTATTTTCAATTTTTCCTATTTTTTTTTATTAAATGAATGATAATGTGACTAGTTTTTAACAATTAACATTTTCTTTTATTAATTTATTTTATTAATACGAGCATATGATTATGTGACCAGTTAATTAATTGATAAATTGATTGAATTCATAGTTGTATATTTTTATAAATAATTCTGAATAGTTGACAAATAATTAGTTGATTTGTTACATGTTACTCCCTTGATTATTACCTATCGAGTGTTTGTGTTGTAATTTGTTCATTTTATTAGGTAAAAGTTTTCATTTATTATTAAATTTATAATATAACTAACTTTAAGGTTTAATAAAAATGGGCGATTCTCGATGGGAGAAAAAAATGAAAAAGAGAATATTAGATAATGTTGTTTTAAGTAAAAAAAAGGTGCAATGGAAAATTTGTTTTTATGTAGAATACAAATTTTGAATGTCCTAAAGTTAATTAGAGGAGAAGAATGATTCAGCCACCAAAAACGAAACAGTTCATAATGATCATGGCATAGGAGCTGAGGTGAGAATTTAGGAGTTGATGACATTGGTAATGAAAAACCAAAAATTAATTTGGATAGATCAAATGCATCAACTTCAATTGTTGGTCCTTTGATTTTAGATATTTACGACTTTGCTTGGTTAATTTTTTACTTGGTTATTTTGAAAATTTTATTTAACTATGTTTATTTAACGAATTCAAGTATTTTCTTTATTATAAAAGTCCTCAAATATTGTTGTTTTGCATGGTAATTGAGATAGAAATAGGTATTGCAATTTTGTTTATAAATTAGGCTCATTTTAAAATTAATCACTTCAAATATGCATGACCACCCTAACACCCTTGTATATTGAGTCACCAAATGGGCTTTGAAAAACGTTTTCCAACCTGCACAAAACATCTCCAAAATTTGGTATTCAGCAAATTTAGTGGAACAAACCAAAAAGAAAACTAGGACATGCCACATGAAGTAATTATAAAATTATACGATCATATTAATAATATATGATAATGTCTATGACTTCAGAATGATAGTAATTTATTCAGAAAAGCTTTATATTGTACGAAAGGGCATTTATCTTTAAGAATTTATTTGAATGCCTTCACGATTGAAGTTTTAGCTGAAATTTTGTATGAGTAAACAAGACTTAATGAATAAGATGCTAAAAATATTTCATCAAAAAATTCTTCCGGGAAGCGCCCCAAATGGCGATGGCCGGACAGAATCTCCTATATAAGGACTTATTTGACCTTTTTATGTAAGTTTGAGAATCTATCTGACTCTTTTCCCATTTTTTTCAACAAGAGTTTATTTTGTGATGTAACTCATATTATGGAAAATATAACTCTCATTGATGAAAATTTTTAACTTAGATGTATGTAAAATGTAACTTATTGAGGCAAGTTCAAATGTGACTCGCAAATAAGAAGATGTAACTCATTTATAAAAAATGTAACTTACACAAGAAGATGCAACTGTATATACTATCAAATATAACATCAAAAAGTGTCTGTAAACATAACTCACACATATGAAAAATTTAATATCATGTTTTATTAAATTTAAATTGAAACAAACTTGAGTCTTAAACATATTACCACATATAAAAGAGATAAGAAATACATCATAGAAAAAAGTGTATCAATATGAAAAATATTTATCAAAAAAGTGTATAAATGTATTCAAAAATAATTACACACAAAAAACTTTGGTAGTAATTTCAGTTGAAGGGAAAAAAGTAATCATATTAGTATATAATTATGAAATAAAATATACTTATTTTATGTGATTAATACAATTTTGTAATAAATTGGTAAGGGAAAAAATTAATTTGATCGTAATTGTATTATTTAAAGATAAAGATAAGTAAAATCTCAATTAATCTTTAGTGTTTGGTGAAGAGGGGAAAAGAATTGAAGAAAAAAATAAAGACAAAGAATCCTGGAGTGCTTGAGGAATTGAAAAAGAAAGTAAAAGATTCCTAGTGCTCCTAGGATGAGAGAAAATGCAGTGGCTTGAGGGAAAAGAAAATATGTAGTGCTCTCAAGAGGAGAAAAACGGTACCATATTTGGTACCGGTATGTCATGCACTCTGTACCTATATGGCTATATTTTTATACAGAGATCTATCATCTATGGCTATATTTCATTTTATGTTTAGTCCTATATGGCTATATTTTTAATTATTTGATAGAATATTTTATACAGAGATCTATGGGGCGTGCAAAACTAAATTTGGAACTCATCCCAAACAAGAAATCTCGAAACTTGACCTTGAAGAAGAGGAAGGAAGGAATATTGAAGAAAATTAAAGAGTTCACCACATTATGCGACGTGAATGCATGCATGATCATATATGGGCTGCCCGACGAGGCCCAATCGTCCGATCCCACTATTTGGCCCACCGACCGATCCAAAGTTGAACGGATGATCCAAGTGTACAAGGAGAAGGGCACAGAAAACGGTGCTCGGACTTACGGGCTGCCCAATTTCTACATGGATCGGAAGAAGAAGGCGGAGGAAGAGCTGAAGAAGTTGAAGCAAAAGAAGTTGGAGTCCAAATACCCGACTTGCCCGAAGTTGTTGGATGGTCTGTCCAAACCCGAATTAGAGAACTTTGTAAGTTTCTTGGATAGGAAGCTTCGGGCTTCAAATACCCGGCTCGAGATGATTAATTTCAGTAATAATTCTTACAAGAATCTTGAAGAAGAAGAATTATTCTGTCACTTTCGCCATGATAATGATGACTACATAATTAATAATATGAATAGTAATCCGGGTTTGGATAATTCCGGGTTTGTAACACCTTTGCAACAAGTGGTGCGTTACGACCGCCACCACCCAAACATGATTCTTGATAATCCGATCAACTACTACTACGGCGGTGGCGGGTTGTGTTATATGGATGAAACCCCAAACCCACAACATCCGGCGGCAGTTGAATACAGTCACCCGCCGCAACAAGTAAATTACTTGGGATTTTACAGACATCCACAATTCGCAGCTGAGTACTATATGGACCGGACGGCCACATTGGCGCCGCCACCGTACATGGGCGGTGGAGATTTGCCCCCACTGCCGCCTTCGATCTATTTGCAGGTGAACGAGCTGAAAAGCATGTGCACGCTTCCGGCGGTTGCAGCTGCTTCTGTGGGCAACGACGACGGGTTTACAGATTTCGGGTCCTCGGGAAGTTATTATTTGGAGGATGTGGAGGATCAAAGGGAGGAGATGGCATCTGCACTACCTCCGGCGATGGCGGGGAGCGGTGGTTTGCCACAGTTGAAAGCTTATCAAGAGGAGCCCGCCGGAAATAGTAGTGGTAATGAATTTAACCGTTATTACAATTTCACCAATCACATTAAGAGGTACTAGTAATTTGATTGCTATTTGCTAGTATACGTTTTTTACAATTTTACGTAGTATTTAACTTTATTTATGGCATGAAATTATATTTAGTAATGCACATGTAATATTACGTTGAGATACTTTAAATTTGTAATTTCTTTAAAATATTGGTTTTGTATTTGAGAATAGTAATTTCTTAGATGCTTTGGTTTGTTTGTTCTACTAATTTTTATTCCAATTTTACATGCAATGCTTCCTAATATATATATACAACTCTTTTTGTATCTTACAAATTAAAAATGTTTCTTTATTTAACTTATTTGGAGGAATCATACAGTATAAGCTCACTATGTTGTAGACTGTAGTAATTAGTTTTTGACCTTATTATTGACCTTGTCAAACAATTCTTATCAACCACATTAACCATTATTCTGGAAGACCGTGAGTGGTTAGACCTAAAACGTCTTGAATTTGCCATGAGGTTAATAGTGTATAATTTAATTGGTTTTAAATCTTTTTTGTTTGGATTATTGGCTTATTTTATCTCAAACTATCATCAAATTCACAAATCTATCTTCTTCTTTCACGCTTATCAAAACAAGGCTCAAACTTCATCTTTTTAAACAATCATGCTTTTTTTTTTTTCAAAATTACACATTCTTACCAATAAGATATAAGTAATTCAATATTGTAAACTAAAAACTAGAAAGAAGTGAAAAGTATGAAATATAATTATGATTTTCTTCTTAAATTCTACCAATTCAAAAGTGTAATTGTGAGAAAAATTGAAGTTCGAGACTTTTTTAATAAAAGTGAAAGTCTAGGATAGATTTGTGAATTTGATGATAGTAAATGATATATTTAGCTAATAATCCTTTTTGTTTTGTTACGAGTCTTTTGCCTTAATTAGCTTTTGCAGAAGTAGTCCAAAGGAGGTGAAAAACAGAGAAGCTTCTCTATTGTACCCCATCCTAAACTCAAACTACAATAGTAAATGTACTTGGTACGGAGTATTACTTATGATATGAATGATATGAATATAATCTTGACCTTTTCGTTTTAAACTTTAATACTCCGTAATCCGTACGTGTTTGTTTAAACTAGATTCTTAGCATTCTTTTATGAAAATAATTCTGTAAGTTCTAATTACTAATGGCCAAATATGAAAATTGAGTATAAAAAGTCAATTGCATTGCATGTAACTCATATTTAGAAACACAGATAGAACAGGTCATTTGGTCATGACCTGGTTTCCAGCCTACAGGCTACAGTCCATTCAAGTGAACTTCTCAAATTTTAGTTAACAGGTGTAGAAATATTACTGTATTTACTAACAAAGCCAAGTCACCAATATAGAATTACAGATATATACCAATATGACAACAAGATTAAGGCTCTGTTTCCAAGTGATTGTGCTTAAATAAAAGCACTTTTTGGGAAAAAGTGATTAGTAGTAAAAATTGGTAGTGTTTGGTAAAATAAGTGCTTTTTGTGTAATAGAAAAAGTAAAAAGTAGATTCTACACGAAAACCGAGAAAGTAAAAGTTGATATTGTTGGGTAAAATAAGTGTTTTTTCCTTTAAAAAAAAGCCAAAAGCACTTAAATTAATTGTTTGCAAACAAAACCTAAATTTAGCAAGTATGTTGGCGTTATGAATCGATTATGGATATGACTCCCCTACATTAGAAATTGGAGAATCCTTAGTTCCTTACCCTTGTCACATTCAGTGAGTCGAAGTTACGTAGACAAGAAATAGTTTTATATTTCTTTCTTTCAATGTTGCACATTCAAATTTCAATCGATAATTTATGACCTCTTGAGTTAAAACGAAATAGAATTACAGATGAAAGTCTATCTCATTCTACAAAAAATAAAACAATTTACGAGTACTTCGTTTTTTCCACTCTTTTGTTCTTGGTCTCCATTTAAAAACTACGGGATAAAATACAAACTCATTTACCTCAAATTGCTTTCATCAGCTTATTACTAGTAGCAGCCTCAAAGACCAATAGTTCTACTGTAGTTGTTCTTCATCATGTCCGATACAGTTGCATGCTTCAACAGAAAAGCATCACCGTTTAGTTGAGCAGATACGAAATTCCAGTGAGTTTTCCCATATGCATTTGCTACACCCCAAATAGGATCATCCATTCTCTCATGTCTCTCTTAGACAGGCTCGTGAAGACCGACCATGTGCCCATCGGCACACCTCACAGCGGCAACCTGCCACCGAAACGTGGAGAAAATGCGTCAGTGCTCTAGCCAATGAGTGTTTGACGTGTGCACTGTATGCGGGGGCACAAGAGTACAAGGCTCACTCTGCATTGCACATTTTGAACACTCAAGCTAAAGTGAGTAATATCCCCTTCCTGGTCATGATCAATTCTTTCATAATCAGAACTTATTAATCCTCACAACAATGTTAAGCTTAACCTTCCGGGTTGTTCAAAGTTCAAACCACTGAAGATCTCTAAAGTAGCGAGTTTGAATCCCCTGCAGGCTAATGAACATTTGCATGATTGTTAAATTTCCGAGACCATGGGATCATTCGGACCAAATTGGTAAGGTCACCAGTAATATATATTGATTTCTTAGATGAACTACATTCGCAACAACCAAATGGTACGTGGCGCAATGGGCTAAAAAATACACAACAGAGCGAACATGGATAATCTGGAGCATAAAAATATGGAGGGTAAAAAAGAGAAGCAACTAGTCAATAGGAACATACCTTCCCATGAATCTCATATTTGATTGGACCATCCAACTCTGCACCTAATGATAACAGTTTTGTCACGGTATGGTTGATGTCAGATACTGTGAAGGATATAAGTGATGAATATCCCTTCTCTGCAACATCATTGCTGTAAAATAAGTTAAATAACTTGTTGATCAGATTATCGCTTCAGTCAAAATGCAATGAAGAAATAAAAAACAAACACATATAAAGGATCAACAAGTTTATGCTTTCCAGCACTTCTTCTTTTAAAACTTGTCAAAAGAAAAAATGTAGGTTCTTTGTTATTTTGTACACCGAACTAAGCATCATCAACATCATCAAGGCTAATAGAACTTCTCTGAAGATGATATTAAAGAAATATGCCTTAAGGTTGACTTTTTAAAAGATCAAATGAGCCATATCTCAACAAAAAAAACATTTACTTGTTTTTAGGGTATAATGCAGAAAATAAAACCAAGATGCTTGGTGTTGACTTCTCCAAATTTCTAGTTTCCTACAAAGGACTATGATGCCTGTCAAGAGTTGGATACTTGTATATTGGTTCTGTTAAAAGGTCCAACCATCCACCAAGGCATAATCAGCAAGACCAGTTCCAAGTTCCAGGTATGGCGAGATACAAGTAGGACCCCGATGTTCTCAAGTTTGAATCTTATAAAATGCTTAATAAAAATTGCTCCAAATAGAACTAAAACATAGACAAAATGCACAAATAGGAGTAACTATGTTTTATTCCGAAAATAGGGCGTATTTGATCATATTAAAAGTACAAACTTCCCCAAATAGGAGTGAATGAGTCCTGCTTCAGAAAGAAAAATGTGCTTAATTTGTTTGTCTTATAATAGCAAATCTAAAGCCAACTAGCCAGGGCTAAACAGCAATCCATGTAAATTTTCTGTTTCAACTGTCCTGAGTAAACTACTTTTAGATATCTTTTGCCATTGCAGAAGCCTGAAAGATTCATGCTTACTTAGGCCAAATTAAAATCTTACTGAGTGTAACTAATGTTCCCTTCCATAACATCCAAGATTGCGAAATTGTACCGACTCCATTGACTCTTGACCTCGAAACGTTGAACTTCAATCAAAGAATTCCGTTCTCCATAGCAAAAAGACATAATCTTAGGGCATGTTTGAATCACAGGAAATGCTAGGTAACAAAATAAAGGCTAAGAAAGATTGTTTCTTGTGTGGTTGCCCCCAGTAAGTGCAAAGGAAAAAGACACATGACTAATGTTTTTTGTTTTCTTTAAGCATGTTTAAATTATTTGACGACTCGTCGCTTACATGATACAATCAGACACGGAAAAAATGACTGAAAAATATGACAAATATATATCTGCCTAATTTGGACAGATGTTAAAATTTCTCCCACATTATCTTTACTTCCAATTTTCTTTTGAAGTTTCATATCTATTTTCTCTACCTGGGATTGATTATTCGTGTTCACTCGACAACAGAGCTGAAAACCGATCTAATAAGAGTTCCATTTAACACACAAGAGTAGTAACACAATAAAAGATAACAATGCACTGGCAGCACTGCACTTCACAAAAGTAAATATATGGAGTAAAGATTGTAATTTTCATTAGCATTTGCTCATTTCGTAATACCTGAATGGTCATTCTAACAAAACCATGTACAAATGCATCAGGCATACAAGAAAATAACAAATATGCAAAAGTAAAAGAGAAAGTAACACAAAAACATAAACTAGTACAAAATTAGAAAGCTTGCACTGTCATTTTTGGACAATCAAACCCGACTTTGAAGAAAACCCGCGGCCTATCAAAACCAAACTAATCTGGTCCGGCCTGAATTTGGATCGGGTTTATTCCTGTCCAGTCCAGGGGCGGATCTATTCAGGAACGAGAGGGGGCAGCTGCCCCCAATACAATCCCACTAAGTCCATGTAATGCATTAGAATATACAAAAAAAACCATGTATTGCCCCCAATCAAATATCACCGTTGCCCCCAATAAAGCAGCCTCCTAGCTCATCTAAAATGATAAAATCTGAAATCAAGATGTCAAAACCCATGTGCTGAGGTAGGAAGAGCAACGAGTGTGTTGCTAATTTATTAGTGAGATACTGAGATTCAATATATTAGGATTTTTAATTGTTTGTTTGTAACTGTTTGATGTTATGTTTTTGAAAATCTAAAGTTCCCATCACTTCCATAACTCTAATTTAAAGTTAGTGATTAGTGAAGAAGTCTTACATCTTATTTATTTATTTTAGTTGATGACTTATTAAAATAGTTAATATTATTAGAAAAATGTCGTTTTGATAGTCAAATATAAAAATGATAAGTGATTGTGATTTTAAGTAGTTAAATTAGAGTTCATTTAGTGATCTTGTTTTTTGACTTATCAGACTTATCAGTTATCTAGTGAACTTTTTCTTCAAACACGTAACTTTGGATTACGTGCGTTGTATTGTGTAATAATAAGAAAAAGCAAGGTTGAAATTATTTTTCCGGCTGTTGGTTGAAGTTACTTTAAGGGATCATTTTAGCTATTTTCATGTAATTATTTTTTTTATTTTATTAATAAAATATGTTTTGAATATATATTTTTTTTGCATAAATCTAACAGAACCAGTCAATCCAGTCACTTTAGCGAGAACTTCATGAATTTCAGCAGAATTATATTAGTCGATTCACCCTATTTCAGTGTTACCAAACTAACTAAATACGGAGTATATAATAATAGTCATAATGATAATAATGTAATATTAATTCCACTTTTCGAGACTTATTGAATATATATTTGATTATCGATCTTTCATTAAAATCGGGTATGTAGCTCTAATAGCGCTTGTCACGGGAACCGTAGAGATTTGCTTCCCCACTATGAAAATAATGAAGACTAATGTGTGTAATATAAATTGATGATATTTTTTGTGATGGTATTTTTTTCTTGAAAAATACAGTAGTATGTTTAAAAAAGTTTTTCAAGAAAAGAAAATTCAGCAAGAACAATTGCGATGTGTTTTGTTAATAGTATTATACTACTAATTTTTGTTCCTCTAAACCATTTCTTAACTGCTTTGCCCCCAATAACTTTTTATCCTAGATCCGCCACTGGTCCAGTCCTTATCTTGAGCTGGTATAAGCCAGTTCCCGTCTGGTCTGGTCTTGGACAGGTGCTCAATACTATTTGCAAGTTAAGCTTAACACTTCCCTAATTGCGTGAATAGCGAAAGAGAAAAGAAATCACATTCTACTAATAACTTCTCATTTAAGGCAAGGAAAAAGACAAACAGATAAAGAGTCAAGAAATAAGATTAACCTGGGGGATTGCATGAGAGCGAGTTTGAGAGGGCCAGATTCGAGTTCGGCCCAGCGAAGAGTGCAGACATTGATCGTGAGACCCAATCCTTCCGAGTAAAACTTAGCAGCTTTCGGGACGTCCTTGTGTAGCTGCAAGATCCATCTGAACGAGGCCGCCATTTTCTTTCTTCTTGAGCAGCGGCAGATCTAGCCGGAGAGATATCGCCGGAGAAGAACCCAATTGTGCGCCGGACTATTTTCCCGCAGGAGTTCCTACGAACTGGGTCGCACTGAACTACCGGAGGATCGCTGAGCCGAAAAAGACTTTGGATGTAAATCCTAGAGCATTCTACACTCGTGGTAGTCATAGCCTAAGAGATTTTTTTGGGATAGTGCAACAAATCTACACTCTCTTTGCTAATTATACAAAAAGATGAGAAAATTTTTAAAAACAATGTTTCAAATACTTATCAAATACTCTAAAATCCTTATCAAATACTCGGTGGGAAAACCGTGTGGAAAGTGTAAAAGCAATAAGGTTTCAAATAAGTGATATTCGAGAAGCTTTGCTTGAGTTGGCGGAGACCGACAATGATTCTAAAATACAAAGTGAAGCTATATCATTAGCTACAAATGATCTTTGTAATTTTGAGTTTTTGCTTGCTACAGTTATTTGTTATGAAATATTATATACTGTTAATTTGGTTAGCAAAAAAAACAAGCAAAAAATATGCTTCTTGATGTTGCTATTGTTGAAGTGAAAGGGCTGATTTCTTTTTTTGAGAAGTTTAGAGAGTGTGGGTTTTCTAGTGCTATGCATGCGGCTAAAGAAATAGCCACTGAATTGGAAGTTGAACCGGTGTTTCCTCAGAAGCGTGTAATTCGTAGAAAAAACAATTTGATGAGTCTGTTGGTGAATGTTCTTCATCATCCACGACAACGTTGGAAGAGTTCTTTAGGGTGGAATACTTTGTCTACATAGTTGATCAATCTATTGGCTCATTGACTCGAAGATTTGAACAATACAAAGAGTATGAAAATATGTTTGGGTTCTTGTTCAGTTCTGAGAAGTTACAATCTTTGAGTGATGTAGATTTGAAATCTTGTTGCACTCGTTTACAAACAGTTCTGCAAAGGGATGAGCAATGTCGTGATATTGATGGAAACGATTTGTATATTGAGCTGAAGTTGCTTAGAGAGATTTTGCCAAAAGAAAAGATGATGGCAACAAGAATATTGAATTCCTTAAAAGAAATGAATTGTTTCCCTAATGCCTTTATTGCATATAGAGTATTGCTAACCATTCCTATTACTGTCGCCTCGGCAAAACGGAGTTTTTCGAAGCTGAAGTTGTTGAAGAACTACTTGCGGTCAACTATGTCACAAGAAAGACTCAATGGATTGACGTTGATATCAATAGAACATAAAACACTCCAAGAGATTGACATTGCAAGTTTGGTAGATGACTTTGCCTCTAAATATGCAAGAAGAATGTCTCTTTTCAAATGAAAGGTATTTTATTAATGACTACTTTCATTTTTATTTTTATGTTCATTAGTAACTTGTATTTTAATCAAATCACTTGTGTTTGGAACATGAAAAAAAGGCCCAGTTTTTTTCATTGCACAGGGCCTCCGAATTCTCAAGACCGGCCCTGGTTCCGCATATAGGAAAGTCGGGACCAAAACTTGCCGATCCGGTCGATTCCAACGGTTAATTTGACTAATTCTTTTCCCATTTCCCTTTCCCTATTGGTTGACAAGTAACAGCTTTTTTGAGACTCTTCACTTTAGAAAGTGATTTGAAAACAAGATCGAATTGCTGAGTCATTGACCAGTCCGGACAGGGACTGTCGGGTCATTGACGGGACCAGCTTGGGATCGCCCAGTTGTCAGTCGGAACGAACAGAGACTGAACAACACACGATTTTTTTGGCATCGCGAGTAAATTTGAGAAAGAGTTTAAGATTTCAATTTCAAGCGAAGATAAATATTCAAGTAATGAAACTATGAATTTCGTGAATCAAAAAGTTTTTCAAAATCTCTAATATCTTAAGTGATTTTGGCTGGTGCATTTAATTATACTTCAAATTTAATAAACAAATGCCTTTTGCTTAATTTTAATATTTAGTCGTTTTAATTTAGTCCGTTAATTGTTGTGTAATTTGGATTTTTCTCTACTATCACATCAATATGCATTGGATATATCCGTCCCTTAAAACTTTGTCAAGTTTTCTTTTTTGAATGTCCCACTAACTTTTCCATCTTTTAAGTAAAGAACTTGTGGTTCCTGTTAATTCTCTCTCTTCTGAATAAACATCAACCACATTGTTTTTACTTTATTAATCCCCGTGCTAGTCAAACATGGCGAAGTTTTAAGGGACGGAAGGAGTATTATATAATATAATATTAACTTCTTGACAAGTTTATTATAATAGGAATAATCACTAATCGTGCAACATATTGGTGACTTACTAGTGGTGTGTAGAAAGAACATGGAGGATGGAAGAAAAAAGAGAAAATAACTGAAGCATTACGTGATGAACTTTAGTGAAGCTAGCGTAAGCTGCCGGACAACCGGACTAGAATGATAAAAGGAAGAACAATAAAATCATGACCATAGAGGGTATTTATAGGTAACCCCACCAGCAAATCGCCTATTCGCCTAGAGACATGTGGCGAGGAGCGTCTAAAAGAACACGTGTCACACAGAGGCAAAGGGACAACTAATCAGAATGAAGATCTCGAGAAGCAGAGCGCCAACTGTTAGCCGCTACTTCCGAACCTCGAGAAACGTAGCGACAACTATTTGAGGTGGTTTCTAGAGTACTTTTCTTCAATTTCTTCATTCTCAACCCATCCAAGATGAAATTTGAGGTCAAGAATGGCTAATTCAACCAAATCTTTTAGTAAGTGTGTTTTTAGCGACTTCTTAGCTTGTTTCATCGTTTTCATCAATTTGTCTCAACTAAGTTCAACCCCAGAACCCTATATATTCTCAGGGTCGTGTGTGTGACCTCTCAAGCTAGGATTCACATTTAGATTTCTTTGTTAGCCTCGAGGTAAGGATTATGTCAACCAAAATTATTATTTTGTCCCTATATTAATATAATTAGAGTTAAGCTACGATTTGAGATTCTTTATGAACTTTTATTTGTAATTCGGCTATGCTGGACTTATATGAGCATGACATGATTTTATGGGAATTTTGTTATGTACAAAATTTGAGCAAATTAATTATTCTAATTTATTATGGCCGAAATTGTGAATTCTGAGAAATTATTATTTTGACTTGGAAAATTGTGTAGATTATGTGGGGACAAATTATATATTTTTATATTTATAATTTGGTATGAATTACATATAGATTGGAGTGAGAACTATCCTTATTGGATTATTTTGAACATAGTATGAAATACTATGTACTATTTTGGCACTAGTTTTGGGTTAACCCCTATATTGTGAACCATGACTTGAACTTGATATGCTATTCATATAATTTTGAGATCCATATATGATTTAAATATTTTGAGAAAGTGATAGAGACTGAGATCAAACTATTTTGGATTGAACTATGAACAATGATTTCATAATTGTGAGTGTCCTTCAAAGAAACCTGTGATGCTAGTGGCCAGCCAGGCCAGGGTTACGGCTGTTACTACCTAGGCAAGGACCGGTTCTGGGCCGGTCCAAACCAGGCTTTTTGTTTGTAGGTTAAGGCCCGGAACCGGCCCGGAATTCCACCGGGGCCGGGCTCTGGGCGGGATATATATATATATATATATATATATATATATATATATATATATATATATATATATATATATATATATATATATATATATATATATATATATATATATATATATATAGAGAGAGAGAGAGAGAGAGAGAGAGAGAGAGAGAGAGAGAGAGAGAGAGGAATGTTCAGGTCCGAACATTCCCCGTCCGAGCACCGTCCGAACATGGACGTTTGGGACACTTTCCGGTGGAATGTTTTGATGAAATTTTTTGACATTGTTCTTCATCAAGTCTAGTATGTCCATACCAAATTTCAGCTCTAAATTCGACCGGGAAGGCATTCAAATCATATTTTGAAGTTGACTGCGTCAAAGTATACATATAAAACTGCAGTCAACTTCAAAAAATGATTTGAATGCCTTCCCGGTCGAATTATGAGCTGAAATTTGGTATGGACAAACTAGACTTGATGACGAACATGCTTAAAAAATTTCATCGAACAATTCCACCGGGAACCACCCCAAACAGTGAAGTTCGGACGGCTGCTCCCGTCCCTCCGTAGGGACCTGAGCATTTCTGTAAATATATATATATATATATATATATATATATATATATATATATATATATATATATATATATATATAGAGAGAGAGAGAGAGAGAGAGAGAGAGAGAGAGAGAGAACTTCATGTCCAGCCGGCCTGACGGGAACCGCCGTTCGGCCGAGGGCATTTCGGGCACTTCCCGGTGGCATTTTTTGATGAAATTTTTTGAGCATGTTCTTTATGAAGTCTAGTTTATCCATACCAAATTTCAGTTAAAACTTCAATCGGGAAGGCACTCAAATAATTTCTTGAAGTTAACTGGGCAGTTCATACATATAAACTGCCCAGTTAACTTCAAGAAATTATTTGAGTGCCTTCCCGATTGAATGTTTAGCTGAAATTTGGTATGGATAAACTAGACTTCATGAAGAAACGTGCTCACAAAATTTCATCAAACAATTCTACCAGGAAGTTCCCGAAATGCCCTCGGCCGGACGGAGCATCCCGTCAGGCCGGCTGGACAAGAACGGGACTATATATATATATATATATATATATATATATATATATATATTTTTATTTTTTTTATTTTATATATATATATATATATATATATATATATAAGGAATTATCAGGTCCATCCTGAGGGACGGGAGGTGTCGTCCGAACTTTACTGTTTGGGGTGATTTCCGGTGGAATTTTTTGATGAAATTTTTTGAATATGTTCCTCATCAAGTCTAGTTTATCCATACCAAATTTCAGCTCAAAATTCGATCGGGAAGACATTCAAATAAATTCTTGAAACATACTGCACATTCTGCGCACATATAACGTGCAGTATGTTTCAAGAATTTATTTGAATGCCTTCCCGATCGAATTTTGAGCTGAACTTTGGTATGGATAAACTAGACTCGATGAGGAACATGCTCAAAAAAATTCACCAAAAAATGCCACAGGGAACCGGCTCAAACAGTAAAGTTCGGACGGAGCCTCCCGTCCCTCCGGATGGACCTGAGCATATCTGATATATATATATATATATATATATATATATATATATATATATATATATATATATATATATATATATATATATATATATATATATATATATATATATATATATATAT